ACACTGGGAGTCAAGTAGCAGTTGAGTCCTCAGATGAAGCAGAGATTAAAAAACGGGATAATTGGACCAGGTGCGAGAGTATAATTCAGTCCCTGTTACCCAAATCATAAAAATACAGCCCTTATTTTTTTAGAATACGTTAGAATTCCAGTTAGGTAATAAAACACTACAGCTATTTGGACAGCAATGCTGTTTAATTTACATTGAGGAATTTCTCTCCACCACAAGAGAAGGCAAACCTATACACTATAATGTCACTTCCAATGGAACATCGCTGAGACAAGAAGGTAGTGTGCCTTACAAATGTGGGGTCAAGACTATAACAAAAAGATAAAATTGTGATAAAAATATGACATTAAGGTTTTGTAGGCAGGAAACTTATTCAGATGTGAGAGATTTATTATAGACATATTCTGGGAAATAGGAGAAAAGTTGGAAGCAGCTGTGTTATTTGGTTACGACTTCCTTCCTCCTTTTGACATTAATACTCCATCCTTCTGAAGGGCTGGTTTGTGTGTCAGACGGATATGACTGTAAACATCAAGAACCACTTCTGATACTGTTAACATAGTATACATGTTCTTGACCAGCCACCAGCAACTGTTCACATCAACTTCTTGATGCAGCTTAAGACTCAAACTGCATGTGAAGAAACAGCACCTTCATCTCCAGAAAGATCACATGCCTTTTCTCATTTCATTGGGACCCTGTGAAGAGGTAGTTCTGGCACATCCTCTTATCCCATTTACACTATTCAATTCATTGATAGCAACCGAGTACAGCCCAATGAAAAAAATCAAAATTTGCATGAAATATCAAGTCACAATATCTATTTTTCTGAGCAGATTTTTTTTCCATAATGACAATTTGGGCTCATAAAGCAAAGACGCTAACTTTAAGATACAAGACAAAAAATTATGTTTTACAAATAACAGAAAGGTTGGACACAGGTGCAATATCATATAGTCGGACACATTGGCAAGCAACACCACTGAGAGTAAGGTTGAATACAGGTGCAATAACATGGTCAGACACCCTAGGAAGTTCTATTGTTACCAACAGAACTAGGCATCGTTTTGCTCCTATCCAGAATTACGGCACAGCGGCTCAGTGGTTAGCACTGCTGCCTCACAGCACCAAGGACCCGGGTTCAATTCCACCCTCTGGCGACTGTCTGTGTGGAGTGTGCACATTCTCCCCGTGTCTGATTGGGTTTCCTCTGGGTGCTCCAGTTTCCTCTCAGTCCAAACTTGTGCAGGCTAGGTGGATTGGCCATGATAAATTGTCTGTAGCGTTCAGGGATGTGTAGATTGGATGGGTCTGGGTCTGGTGGGATGCTCCGAGGGTCAGTGTGGACTTGTTGGGATCTATGATTTTACTAATTTATAATATCAGCAATAATGCAAACATAATGGAATCCAGATATGCTGGTTACTCTAACTATTCCCAATGCGTTTAACAGCATGTAGCCTTGTCCATTTGTACTTTTTTCACATCTGGAAAGGTAAAAGGGCTTTAGACAATTTCCACAGCCTGATGGCTTGTGTGCTCTGAATGAGAGCAAAGCAGACAAAGCCACAATTCTCTAAAGCTCTCTGGATTCAGGAATTGTGCCAAAAGATTGAAAACTTGGAAACATCACTCCATTATTAAAGCTTGTCAAGAGCCTGAGGGGAAATTATTGGAATCTTTCACCAGGTTTAGAATGACTGAGCAACTTGGGCAAAAGTAAGCTGATCAAAGTCAACTTGGAATTGTGATGGTGAGATCATGTCCTATTAACTGAATTTTGAGGAGTCATCAGCATAGGAAATAAAAGGGTGAAATGGGTGCTTTCTACATGGACTTCCAGATGCATTTAGTAAGGTTCTACATAATATATCAGTAAAAGGTATGGGGTAACCTTGTTAAATGAGTTAGTAATCAGCATACAGGGTATGGATAAAAATATGTCCCATGTCCCACAGAGATCACAAGTAACATCCCTGGGGCTTCAGCTTCTGTGAAGGAAGACATTAGCTTTCATATGACACTAATGTATGGATTAGTATAGGAAGTTACAAAGGCTCACAAACATGAAGTGAATAGACTAATATATGGCAAATTGAGTTCAATAGATGGAAGCATAAGGTTACATAATTTTGGAGAGAGAAAGTAACAGAATATGTTAAATGGGGAAAGTGCAGTGCTGGATAAAACTAGAGACACAGATACACAAATCACTAAAATCCACCAAATCCAAAACCTAATATATAGATACAGAACTCATTTTATCTTTAAAATAATTGTAATTCAAATGTGAAGGGTGATGCTTTAGCTGCACTCAGCCTTAGGCAAGTCCAGCCTGCAGCACTGTATTCAGTTCTGGGTACTATACCTCAGGAAAGACATGATCTCAGAGGGGTACACTGCAAATTCAACACAACGACACATGGGCTAATAGGGATAAACAATGGAGAGAGGTTGTACAAACTTGGTTTGTATTTCTTTGAGTTTAAACAGTTGAGATGAGTTTAAAATTGTGTTTAAAACAATAAAAGATTGTTAATGGCATAGGAAGCAAAACGATTCATACTGGTGAAGGAACCTAGAAGGACAATGCCAAATCTTGAAACTATTATGAGACAAGTTATAAATGAAATTAGAAACTATATTTGCCAAACCAGGAGTAGTGGAAATCTGAAAATGTCTCTTGTAAATAGTAACTGAATCCACCTCAGCTGGAGTGTTCAAGATGAAAACAACTGAATCTTGATGCATAAGTATATCATATGATAAGATGAAAAGGCAGGTTTAAAAAAAAACAGTTGAGGTGCAGAAAAACCATGAGAAGAGGTTGGTAAACAGATGAATAGAGCTTGCAGCAACTTAAGAATGCTCTGTCATTCAAAAGGTCATGTTCCATTTGTATCCTAACTCAACGGCTCAAAACACAGCTACAGTGAGGCACCAGAGCTCCCAAGGCTCTCACAGGGGTGGATGCGTCAGGACAAGGAGGTTCCAAGGTAGGTGGGGGTTGGTGGAGGTTGAGGAGGAGGCTGTAAGAGGGGTGGGGTGGAGAAGGAAGCTGCAAGGGGAAACATTCTCTCAGCAACCACCTAGTCAAGCACCCCGAGGATCACATGTTTCAGAAAGATAGCCTCTCTCTCAAACGTCCTGGCTCTGACTTTAAGGTGATGTCTCACTGCCCTAGAGTTCCCCACCAGAGGAAAATTTATCTTAACATAAATTTAAAAATATTGATTGCATCACACTATAACCCTCCATCTCAATAAGTACAACCTTAGTTCATGTAACAAAAACAGAAATTACTGGAGAAACTCAGGAGGTCTGGCAACATCTGTGGAAAGTGAAATAGAGTTAATGTCTCAAGGCCAGTGACCCTCTTTCAGAACTGAAGCAGTATTAAAACATTCTCTCATTCATATTCCATCCCTAAAGCTATAAAAATTAACATTCCATTAGCCTGATTTTTTTTTGTGGCTACCTACAGTTTAGCAATGAGTAAATGGACCCCAAATTTCTTGGACCTCCATTGCTCATAGCTCTACACTATTTACATGTATATTTTTGGCCCAAGGTGGATGCCGTTTTAAACTTATTGGTATTTAAATCCAACTGCCACATCAAAGCAGAGATGGCTGCAAGGAGATTTAACAGAGATTTCTAAATTCTGATGGAAAGACTATTTTCTGTTTGGCAATGGCCTAGTAGTATTATTGCTGGACTGTTAATCTAGAAATCTAGATAACGTTCTGGGGACCTGGGTTCAAATCCCGCCATTGTAGATGGTGGAATTTGAATTCAATAAGTATCTGGAATTAATCATCCAACGATGACCACAAATCCATTGTCGATTGTTGTAAAAACCCATCTGGTTCATTAATGTCCTTTAGGGAAGGAAACTGCCTTCCTTACCTGGTCTGGCCTACACATGACCCCAGACCCACAGCAATGTGGTTGACCCTTAACTGCCCTCTGGGCAATTAAGGATGGGCAATAAATGCTGCTGAGCCAGTGACGTCCTCATCCCGTGAATGAATAAAAAAAAAAATTGGTGAAGAACATGGTAATTAAGTGAATACACTTGACAACGAGTGAGAAGAGAGATCAAAGAAAATGTTGTAATGCAGAGAACTAATGAGTATGAAATGCTTCACCATTGAGACTGATTGCAGCAGAGACCATTGCACCTTTTAAGAACAAGTTTAATAAGCATTTGAATCAAAGGAAGGAAAAGAATTAAGGAGCAAGCAGGACAGTGAGACTATTTTTGGGCCAACACAATGGACCAATTGGCCCTTTTCTGCACTAGTTTTATTTCCTCACAGATGGTGAACAGGGCTTGTCAGCCAAACAGTCTGAACCCAACGCAGAGCCAAAACTCTAATCATGATATCCTGTAATCAGAAGTTTACAACACCAAGTCAGGAAGCACTTTGAAATCACACGTCTTTAAGAATTTCAGCAATTAACAGCAGAGTGTTTAGGATATCCTTCAGAAACAATATCACGTTATTAGACCAACTGCATGCACGTTTCCATAAACCACTGCCATTACAAACAGTCTAAACAGAATCAAAACCTCAAGCAAAATAGTAAGCATAACATTCTGAAAATTATTATGGAGAATAGGCACTGTGGTGAAGGTAAGTTAATCTCTAGATTCAACTGAAGATTTAAAATGAGAGCTTCAGACTTGTGGTTTGGGACAGCTTATAATGCCTCAAAGCACATTCGCTCGCTTTTTCACAGATACAATCATGATCTGTAAAATTATGGGATGTTAGGGGTGATTGACTAACTATAATTTGTTATACATACCTATATTAATTATAGACTGCAAGATATTTCTTCGCAGCACACACCCTAAAAATAAAAGTTCATTTTCGATTTCCAGTTATTACAGTTCATTATCTCCTTACGTATGTGGTTATTACTGATTGAGCGCATTGTTAAATATAGCTCAAGTGCAAACCCAAATCAGCAAAGTGCCTCACCTTTAATCCCTGCCAGGGGAGACTGCCTCGTAGAAAATACATAAACATGTGTCCTAAAGCCTCCAAGTCATCTCTGCGGCTTTGCTCTAGGGAAAAACAAGAGTGAATTTGGCTGATGAGTTGGCATATTTTGAGGAGGGCAAATTACTGGGAAAATGTAAACACTCTCCTACGTATCTAAAGTCAATTAATATCAGACTCAAAAACTTCAATCCAGGAAATAAGAGATTTTATCCTGGAGTACACCAGCATCTAAAAGACTAAAATCAATCGTGTGCGTCAGATTTTTGCATTTATTGAATTCCAAGCACATAATGATCTCAATAAAATGTACTCAATTAAAACAGTGTTTCTCTTTAGACAGCTGGCAGTGATTTGACAAATTAGAACAAATGCTTATGGGAGCAGATCAACACATTTTAGGGGTCCCTTCATTAGAAGCCATCAACAATGACTTGAGCTCCCCCTAGAAAGTGTTGCTAATTGTGGGAGAATATTTCTTCACCACCAGGATGCATCAATAATAGCAGGCAATTCTCGCTCAGACCTCCCAAATCAATAAATACACGGCACCCTGGAACGATGAAAAGATCTCAAGGGCTGCCCGCTGCACAGGACAATTTGACAATCGTTGAATAAAAGACAATACTCAGAAGGTCAGTCAGCAATGAATGGGGAATATTCTGCAATGGAAGATCACTACCAATCCAGGAAATTGCTGCATCGTAGAGTCAAGAACCCAGGTTCGATTCCAGCCTTGATCTCCCTGGGTCCGCACGGGTTTCCTCTGGTTTCCGGTTTCCTCCTACAGTCCAAAGATGTGCAGGTTGGGTGGACTGGCCATGCTAAATTACCCATAGTGTCCAGGGATGTGCAGGCTAGGTGGATTAGCCATGGGAAATGCAGGGTTACAGAGTGAGGGTAGGGGAGGCAGTCAGGGTGGGATGCTCTTTGGAGGGTCTCTTTCTGCAGATTAGGGATTCTATGAGGGCACTGACAAGCTCAGCTCTGTTTTAAATATGTATAATTTTAGGATGTTTACCAGTGTCATGGAAGATTACATTCCGTGATTTGGCCTTTGGGTTAATTAGGCATCAGCTGGCATCCCTTAAATGCAGCACTTCCTCAAACTGCTTCCCAAACAGCTTTCCTTCAATAAGATGCCCTCTGACATCCCAGAATACCCTACTCTTCACAGCAAATGTAGAATCATTCAGTTTCCTGAAAATCCAGTATACGTTTTGGAGAAAATCCAGTGAAGCACAACACTGAGACAGACACAGGCAATCAAAAATTTACACCCAGAGCAAAAGGGAGGTAAGCATCAATTGTGGCTCCATTGATTCAGTTGTGGGTTCAAGTCCAACTACAGGATTAGAGCACAACACCCCAGGTGAATGACAATATGCTGCATTGTTGGAGGTGCCAGCTTTTGGGTAAAAGACATTTAAACTGACAGCCCATTTATCCTTGCAAGTATAATGAGAACCCATGGCAGAACATTGGAAAGGTCTCAAGATCCAAAGGGTCCCTGTCAGGGATCAAAATATAGAGTTTGCATTCTGTGGAGTTTTGTTGGTGGAGGTGAGGATGGGCGAATAGGCAAGAGGAGAGTAGGAAACTACAGTGAATCATCCACGGGACCTCGGCCATCTTGCAGCTGCCAATATCAGCAACAAACCTGCACCCATCTGTGTCACAAAATGATGCATTATCTTTGTAAAATGGGGAATGGAAGACATAAGTCAGGCCATACTTAAAGTGTTCTTCAAATTTGCATAAACAACATCACCCATTATTTGGCCTGTAAATGTCAACATTACATTTTTACATGTAGATCAAAAAAATCTGTTCCTCTATTTCCCCAATACCTTTAAAACAGAATAGCATTTTAGGTCTCAAGTATCTTCCCGCATTGTACACCAGCAAGCCCCACCCAAAATAAGTTTCAGCTAAGACAACACACCTTTGCCCAGGTGAGTGTTGATGGACATGTATCTTGCAGTGCCCGTTAAGCTCTTGTGTTCCCTGTACGGGATGTGCTTTTTGGTATCAGGATCAACATACTCCTTGGCTAAACCAAAGTCTATTATATGGATTATGTGTTCCTTTTTATTGCCTTGCCTTCCAATTAGAAAGTTTTCCGGTTTGACGTCTCTGTAGATTAAGCTCTTTGAGTGGACATACTCCATTCGGTTCAGCTGTTGAAACAGATCAGACATGTTAAAAGTGTGGAATCTTGCCCTGTTTCTTCCTTCCAATTCCGCTTTGTATTCAAACAGGAAACCTTCTGGTATGAGACAACCATTTAATAACATTTACATAAGAGAAACCCTCCCTCTGCAACCGGTTAATCAGGATTTGAGAAACCTACATGTTGCAACTCAAAGTCAAATGCAATGCAGAATCCCGTATTCTAATCATATTCAAGCTTTCAAATCTAAAAAAAGCAATTAGTAAATACGGATGTAAAACTCCTGTAAAGATATTACAGAATACCATTAATCTCTAGGAGGTAAAACTGCCAAACCTCAACAAAGTGTTTGAACATTAATCAATTAAAGAGAATAAAAGGAATATTTGAACTGACACAGCATCTAATTACTGAAAACTTAATAATCATCACAAATGGACATTTAAACTTGAATTGCTTCTTTTTTATATTCTGATTTACAATGAACCCAAGACATTTGGCAGAAAGCAAGAGAATGGAGAGAATTATTATTTTCCATTATTGACAAACTAATTCAATCCATTTACAGAATTTTACAGCACAAAGGGTGATCGTTTGGCCCATCGTGCCTGTGCTGGCTCTCTGAAGGAACTATTCACTTCAATCCTCAAAGATTTCCTTCTCCAACATTTGTCTGCTGCCCTTTTTAAAGGATATTTCAGATTCCAGTTTCATCACTAATGGTGGTTGACAGCATAAGGGATTCAATAAATGTTAGTTTGACCATAAGCATGTGGGCTGTATCAAACTTACCCACAGCTAAGTGAAAAGAGTTAATGTTTGCAAACTCACCTAGACCCACCAATTCTCAATGTGCAATAAAGATATATGCCTTCAGTGAAAATTATGCCTCAATGGATAATGCATGCTCTTCTAAGTCATATAGTCAAAGAGCTGTACAGCCTGAAAACAGACCCTTCGGTCCAACTTGCCCATGCTGACCAGATATTCTAAAATTGGAGGCAATGGGTTCTAATTCCAGTGAGTTCAGCACAAAATCTAGTTTGATGCTGCAGTCCAGGATTGTGAGAATGCTACACTGTCAGGTATGCTGCCTTTCAACCAAGACGTTTTCTGCCCTCTGGGTGAATGCAAAACTGCACATGGCTGTACACTTGCAAGAAAATTCCCAAACTAAATTTGTTACAAATTTTGCCATGATATGCACTCCTCTGAAATAATATTCAGAATAAGCTGACTTTGGCATGTCACAGTCCTTTGATTTGTTACCAACACACACATCTCCAAGCCATACAGTTCTGGGTTGAAATCCCACTCCAGGGCTCAAGGAGGAAAATCAAGGCTGCCATTTCAGTACAGCGCTAAGGGAACATGAGACCAATGGGATGTTTTTTGGATTGGAAGTTAAATTATGCCCATATATGCTTCATTGGTGGGTGTAAAAAATCCCATGAAAATATATCAGTAAAACAGATTATCTTATTATCACATTACTGTTTGGTAGTAGCAGTTGTAATTTGGTTATCACGTTTCATGCATTCTTGCAGTAGTTTACATAAAAACTACTTGAATTGCTATAAAGTGTCTTGGGATTACAGACATTTTGAAAGGTACTATGAAAATATAAAGACTCTTCCCTTCGGGAACAGACAGGAGTCAGTAACTATCCAGAGCAGGTTCAATGCATCTCTCATTTTCATAACACATATTGGTTCCTGGGCACTATGTTTGTTCCAGTTAATGTACCAGAACTGAAATGCTGCATAGAAAATAAGAAAAAGTGTAGGCCATTTAGGCCTTTAAGCCTACACCACCATTCAAGATGATCATGGTTGATCAGCCAATTGAGCACCCTGTTCCCACTTTCTCCCCATATCCTTTGATATTTTCGCCTTAAGAACTGTATCTGACTCCTCCTTGCACACATTCGATGCTTTGGTCTCAACCACTTTCTGTCAGAGAATTCCACAAGCTCACCACTCTCTGGTGAGACGATCACTCATCTCATTCCTAAATGGCCTACCTCATAGCTTAAACTGTGACACCTGGTTCTGGACACCTCAGTCATTGAAAATATCTTTCCTGTGTTTACTTGTCTAGTACTGTTAGAGTTCTGTACATTTCTACAAGCCTCCCATTCATTCTTCTACACTCTGTTCACTAGAGTCCTAACTGATCCAGTCTCTCTCAGGAACCCCAGAATTCCTGCCATCCCAGGAATCGGTCTGGTAAACCTTTTCTGCACTCCCTCCATAGCCGGAGCATCCATCCTCAGGCAAGGAGACCAAAACTGCATACAATGTGCCAGATATGGTCTCACCAGGATACAACAATAAGGCACCTACAACCTGATGGCAGAAAGATAACCAGGACAGACTGCATTTTAAAAATGGAAGGAGATAAAAATCAGGCAACTATAGGTCAGTTAGCTTAACATCAGTTATTAGGAAAATGTTAGAGACTATTATAAAGGGAAGCAAAGCAGAGGATTTTGAAATACACAATCAAGCAGAATCAGCATGGCATCACAAAGGGGAAATCATACCTAACAAATTTACTACAATTCTTTGAGATGATGATGAGCAGAATAGATAAGGGGGAAGCACTGGCTAGGCTACAATAGTGCTTAATTGATTGTAAAATGCTCTGATGCTGCAAGTGGTTCTATATAAATGCAAATCTCTCTCACTTCTACTGCCATGACAGAACAGGGTCAACATGCTTTGATACAGTAAAGTCACAATGTTGAAGTTCTTAGGCCAATTGAAAAAAATTCACTCCCTCCATCCACTGAAGCACAGTAGATTCAGCATGTACCATCTACAAGATGCATTGCAGGACCTCACCAAGGCTCCCCTAATAGCACTTTCAAAACCTTCAATCTCCGTCATCTAGAAAGCCGACAGCAGCAGATACATGGGAACACCACCACTTACACAGTCCCCTCCAAGTCACTCGTCATTCTGACTTGGAAATATATTGTCAATCCTTCAGTGTCACTCGGTCAAAATCCTGGAACTCGCTTCCAAACAGTACTGTGGGTACACCTGCACCACATGAACTACAGCAGTTCATGATGGTCGCTCATCACCAGCAAGTGCAATTAGGAATGGGAAACATGTGTTAGTGCCATTGATGCTCAAATCAAATGGAGCAATTTTTAATAAGCAGCTTTCAAATCAGTTGCCTTACAGTAAAACAGCACATCAGAAACCCTGCACGTGGATGAAATTATTGGTGATCTATACAATTTCAACTCACCAATGGCACTCTTCGATGGGTGGAACAACCTTTTAAATAGTGGGAACAAAGGTGGCAAAACAAAACAATAAAGCCAAAGAACTCATACAGAGGTCAGTTAAGTAGGAAGAGCATTAAAGATAGCATGAGGCAATATTGCCATACCGTAACATACAACATCATTTATCTACTGGATATGCCACCCAGTTTGAGTATCACACCCAAGAAACGATTTTGAGGTGGCAATGTGGTTCACTGAACTAATAGAGTCTGATTACTAATAGAGACTGACCTATCCCCTCCCTAACTCCCCACCTACACTCACCTTTACTGGCTCCATCCCCGCCTCTTCGACCTGTCTGTTTCCTCTCCACCTATCCTCTCCTCTATCCATCTTCTATCTGCCTCCCCCTCTCTCCCTATTTATTTCAGAACCCCCTTCCCCCTCCCCCATTTCTGATGAAGGGTCTAGGCCCGAAACGTCAGCCTTTCTGCTCCTATGATGCTGCTTGGCCTGCTGTGTTCATCCAGCCCTGCACCTTGTTGTCTCAGATTCTCCAGCATCTGCAGTTCCTACTATCTCTGAGTCTGATTACTGTTCCTCACCCTTCTCTCAGAAAATGAAGGACAGAATGGAGTCTGCTAAGCAAGTCTGCTAGCAAACCCACACCACACAGGACTCTGAATCATTATCACCATCTCTTCCAAGTAGCAGCGCGGTGACACACAGGATGATCTAACAAACATACTTGTGGAGTGCAACGCATGGAGGAAGTATAACTGAGTCACAGCTAAGGTGGCACAAGTGATGCCATCTTCCTGCCCTGAATCACAAAAATGAGTAGGACAGAAAGGAAACAAAGAGCAGGAATAAACGTGTCTTTTTCTGAGTAGCAGTCAGTAACCAATGGGGTACTGCAGGAAGTGTTAGGACCCAAGCTATTCAGAATGTACATTAATGATCTATATGAGGAAACTACATGTCATATCCTCAAGCTTGCAGATGGCACAAAGCTGGGTGGGAGGGTGGGCTATGAGCTTCAGTGTGACTTGGACAAGTTAAGTGGGCAAATAAATGGCAGATGAAGTAGAATGTGGATAAATGAGAGGTTATCCATTTGGATAGTAAAAACAAGCAGGTAGTTTATCTGAATGCTAACAGATTGGGAAAGGGCCAAGTGCAATGAGACCCAAGGGTCTTTCTACTCCAGTTGTTGAAAGTGAGCATTTAGGTACAGCAGGCAGTGAAGGCAGCAAATGGTATGTTGACCTTCATAGTGAGAAGTTTCGAGTACAGGAGCAGGGATGTCTTGCAATTGTATGGGGCCTTGAAGAGAACATAACTGGAGCACTGTGTGCAGTTTTGGTCTCCTTATTTCAGAAAGTGTGTTCTGCCTATTGAGGGAGTGCAAGGGTTTACCAGACTGATTCCTGGGACAGTGGGACTGATGTACAGGGACAGACTGAATCAGGAACAAAAACAAAGTTGCTGGAAACGCTCAACAGGTCTGGCAGCATCTGTGAAGGAGAAAACAGAGTTGACGTTTCGGGTCCGGTGACCATTCCTCAGAACTGAATCAGTTTGTTCTATATTCTATATTCACTAGAGATTAGAAGAATAGGTTTAGGCAGCAGGGGATCTTATGGAAATCCATCAACTTCTACCAGGGTTAGACAGGATAATTGTAGGAAGGATGTTCTTGATAACCAGGGAGTTCACAACCAGGGCTCACACTCTGAGAATAAGGGACAGAGTAAAGGAGAAAT